CAACTCCAAAGAATTCCTCAACCTCATCTCAGAATGTCACACAAAGTTTCCTTCTATAAATTTTTTTTCTATAAATTCACAAAATAGGATTATCACTTGGCATGCAAGTAACGATGATCACTTTTGGATGTTGATTTCACTAACAAATAATTCTGTTCTCATAAAACAAATGAGAACTGTCAATGCTGATTAGAATGCCAACAATATTAATTACATTTGTGAAATTCCATCATGTTCAAAGGAAATCCATTACAACAATATGTTAGAAAAGGAAACAGAGTTTGTTTCAGACTACAGAATTGCTTCTTGGGCACATAATACCATCTCACTGTGGTTCATGTGAGACAAGTGTTACTAATGATCGATATCCACTGCTGACACAGTGGGTGCCCTTATACACTTGACACCTGCAGTAGCTAAACTGGAAACTACTACAAGGTACCATAATAAGTGTACATACAGAGAATACCAGAGAGCATTTTTAAAGGGTGCTGACTTTAGCACATCTAGTGCTAGACAGCAGAACAGCTGCTTATATCTAAAACTAAGGGTTCCTGAGGGAGAATAACTGAACACTTCTGTTTTGGTGAGGAGGAACCACATGCACGCGAAAGGGGAGCAAATTACAATAAGTTCTACAAAAAGTTCAGCCCAATAAAGCAATGCCGCCAGAAAATCTAATTCCGGTATCGGAAAATGAAAGATTTATGGAAGAGTCAGATCATCTGAACTTAGATTCAAGATAGAATCCCCTTTTTTAATGTTTTGACCTTTGTGTGTCATTTGCAAGACAATGACCCATCTGAACACATTTCTGATATGAATCACAGAATCAAAACCACAGGAGTCAGAGATTGAGGACACCTATTAAGACTTCTATTCCACCTTCCAGACACTGCAGCATTGGTCCCTCCAGTACATATTCTAATACTTTGTCCTAGAAACTGAGGGGCTGAGTTATTTTTGGTGTAGCAGGACCAGTCATTTCATGCCTTAGGCTTCTACAAGCTGTCATTTTCCTTAAAAAATAAATATTCTGATTGGGTTTAATACCTCTAATAGTCCATACAAACATTACCTCAGCAAAAGAACTTTAGGAAGGGTTAGTCAGTCAAAGGTAGATTTATTCATTGTACATTTTACTATGTTTCTTATGTCACTTTGTGAAAAGCTTGCCTAAATAAAATTAAATCCAAAAAAAAAAGCACATCAATTACTTCAAACTATTGCCCTATTGCTCACCTGGACTTCCAATGCCCAACCTGTTGCAAACATTTTGTAACATGAATTGTCTGTTAACACAGACTTGAGTACCACATTAATAGTAATTATACTAAAACTGTTCTGAGATTAAAAAAAGGTGTTAACTGCTGACCCATCACTAGTCATAATATAAAGCAAACAGAAAAATATGCACTGAGACATCTTCTCCAAGATCCACTTCTATAAGACTAAATGCCAGAGTATGCCAATCAATATTCAAAAAATTCCATAACACTTTACATACAATGTCAACCACTATCACAAAAATGCCCTACAGATTCTAGTAGAGTTGCTTGCTTGAATTATGTTCTGAAACGCACACAGAACCTGTGAAATAGCAAGAAAAAGCAACTAAAACAATTTGATGCCAAGTTATTCAGCTACATTTAGCTAAACATTCATTGCCTAGATATTGCTTTCAAATCCACTGCGAGGGTGATCCTTAACTTTTAGGGATCTCCCTGTTCTATGCCAGCAAGGTAGTAGTTCCAAATTATTACTTCTCTTAAAGAAAAAACTTGAGTTGGCAGGAAACTGGAGTGAGTGATCAAGCATGCATAACAATGGATATATTAAATCATTCTCAAAACACAAAGCAATGTTAGCAAGCTACCACAGAAGAGGAGGCTCCTTTTTTGCCTTTTTTGAACACTTGGCCACTTAAATCTATTGTAGTAAGGTAAAAAGGGATGTTATTCTTAAACTGGAACTATTTGGAAATGGTAAACAATGTAACATCTGTTACTGAACTACAAGGGGACTTCCAAGATTCCTAACAAGCACATATGCACATTATACTAGACCAAGTATATGTATACAGAGTTCCTGCACAACTGAAACAAATTTAAGAAGACCACATTGGGACAGGTTTATCTGACCTTATTAGGATTCATGCATAAATTGACTTAAGACTGCCGATAAAAGATCAAGCTTTCAAAGAAATATTAAGCATACAAATACTACCAAAATGTGTACTTTGGAAAAATGCATAATATTTTACAGGTAGACTGAATTCTCAAGTATTTTAGTAGCTTAACACACACCTCAAAACTCTCCCAGCATTTTATTAATATCATTTGGTAGTACATCTTATTGATGATCTCCACCATGGAGTTTTTATAAAATGCAACCTTTAAGATGGGAAGGAGCAGAAAAACAATTTAATGTTGGATAAACATTATCCAATATTTGCAGTATTTGTCATTAAAGTATTGTTACTTTGTGCTCCAAATGTAAAATCTCTAAACAACCTAATTCAAATTAAATCTAAACCTTTACTTATCATACAAATTAACTAGAAACAGTTCTCAGAATCAGAGGCCGGAGATGGAAATGGCCTATTAGGTCATACAGACCTGCAAAAGAATGTGAGGAACCTTTCCTGTGCAGCTTTGCTGGAACAGCCCAAGATATTAAGGTTAATGATGGCCCTATTAAAAGTCAGACCATGTTGTAGCTCAAAATTGCATCGTTATTGAACAAGCTCAGATTTCTGTTGCCTCATCAACTGAAGATACCTGGCATAAACATAGCAAGTGTTCTACAGATGAAGATACAGAAACTCAAAAGAACCTGAGAACTGATTCAAGCTAAAGACAACAGCTGCAGAACCAAGTAACACACTGGTGATTTGAACAAGAAAGTCACAGTTCTTGTATGCTGATAAAGGCAAGACTAGATGTTCCTGAAGTCATCCAGGGAAAGCTAGGAAAAGTGATATAAAGCTACCATCATATAGGAATCCAGAAAGGAAGATGGAAGAATAGCTCAAAAAAAAGCCACAATACTGTCATTATCCAGATTTGCACAATAACCAGCTATCATAATTGGCCTTCAGAAATATCTCAATGAACTATAAACTGGGAAGGCCAAGGCAGGACTTCAGGTGATCCTGCAACGCAGACCAAAAATATGAAGCTGGTAAAGTACTTGTAACATCACCAAAGCAAAAAAGGAAGAGAATCTGTCAGAGAACAAAACAACAAAAAACTAACCAACTTATTTGATGCTGTATTTCAAGAAGGTTGATCTTATGTTTGAGGCACTGGACTAGGATTCATGAAATAGGTTCTATTCCCAGCTCTTCCACAGACTTCCTGTATGACACTGAGCAAACCACTTAATCTCTGGTTTCAGAGTAGCAGCCGTGTATTCGCAAAAAGAGTACTTGTGGCACCTTAGAGACTAACAAATTTGAGCATAAGCTTTCGTGAGCTACAGCATCCGATGAAGTAGCTCACGAAAGCTTATGCTCAAATAAATTTGTTAGTCTCTAAGGTGCCACAAGTACTCCTGTTCTTTTCACTTAATCTCTGTCTCTGACCTTTATCTTTAAAATGGAAAAAAATACTTCCTTTCTCCCCCTCTGTCTATTTAAAATGTAAACTGTCCTATACTGAGAATGTCGATGTGTTTGTGCGGTACACAGCAAGCTTTTACTAATTGTATTATTGTACCATCTAGGGACTGAACGGACACACGCATGGTGTGAAAATACAATAAACTGCTTAGTCTATCAACTTCAGTTAATATTACTGCTTTGATAGAAAGATGTCCCTCACAAATGGTCAAATAGTATTGTAAGAATGTGGTGGGAAGGAATAGGAGGATTTATTAGGGACATACTTATCAGTCCAGGTGCATCTTTTGGGGGCCTATGATTTTATGGATTGAGGTGAAGGCAGAGAGCTGAGCTATTCAAAGTCTACATGCTGCACTTCGGCTGCATAGCAAGGTGATTTCAGGAATGGATGCTGATGGTCATAGGTTTTGATGTCAGTATAGGTATATTCGTAGTGCAGAAGTTTCTTCTTGAACTTCATAATCTCATGTCTTAAGAAGGAGCTGGCAACCAGAGGTAGGCTTTTGTTGGGAAATTCAAAACATAAAGCACCTTCTAGCCGACGATTTGTATGAAAGATGATGCCCCTGTACACAGTACAAAGGACAACGCTCATATGAATCCCAACAACTTCTCCTTTAACAGCAGCTCCTTATGGTGGGAGAGTTGCTCCTGGGGACTCTAGTAAAGCCCTCCACCCTCTCATTTGTATTGGCCTCTGAAAAGTAGTTGAATTCACCTGTTGTATGTGGGGGAGTTTCAGTTACTCAGAGTACACATGCTTCTCATGCCCTCCCTCTCATGTTGTGCCTTGGTCAGGGGGCCCAGCAGAAGCCCAAGGGGAAACCCCTAGTTACTTGCAATCCAGTGGTCCCATGATTCCCTATGTGTAGAAGCTAGATAAGTATTTGAACATTTTGGTTACTTGCAACCCAGGTGTTCTACCATACCCCGAGGATGGGTGGAGAATGTTCAAGATGCCCCTATCAGGCTCCCAGAGGAACCTCTCCTGCCCCCACTCACAGTCCCCTCGGCCCCTAGAGGGGACCTCTCCTATCCCCCACTCACAGACCTCACGGCTTCCGGAATGAGCCTCTCCGGTCCCCCCGTTACTCACAGACCCCACGGCTCCCAGGGGTGAACCTCTCGTGCCCCCCCCACCCGTACTCACAGTCCCTACAGCCTCCGGGGGAACCTCTCCCCCCACCCCCGTACTCACAGACCCCCACGGCTCCCGGGGGAACCTCTGCCAGTCCCCCGCACCCCGTTACTCACAACCCCCCCCGCTACTCACAGACCCCCAGGTCCCCGGGGGAGCCTCCGCCACACACACCCCAGGTACTCACAGACCCCAGGTCCCCGGGGGAGCCTCCGCCACACACACCCCGGTACTCACAGTCCAGGTGCTTCTTCTTGGGCCCCATGACCTCGTGGGTCGTGGCCTTGCAGACGGTCTTGGAGACGGCCGAGCCGGTCACGCTGTGTTGCGCCGCCGTGATGCGGTCGGTGAGGCTCTGGCCGGACATGGTGCCGCGGCGCCGGGCTGGGACGGGACTGGGACGGGACAGGGGGACCGACTCGCTCGGACACGTCGCTCTGCCCCGCCGCAGGCAGCTGCGCTCGGACACGTCGCCCGGCCCCGCCGCAGGCCGCTGCGCTCCGCCCCCGGGGACGGCCCTGTCACCCGGGCAGCGCCCCCGCCTCCTCCCCCCGCCCCCGCCCTTCGCTGCTTCCGCTCGGCCGGGGTCGGGGGACTCACGCACACTGGGCGCCGCAGGAAAATGGCGGCCGCGCAGCCCCTCCCCGGATCGTTCCGGGCCGCCCGAATCACGTGACTAACCCTCCCCTCCTCTCCCCCGGCCCCGCCCCGCACTGGTCACGTAGCTCCCTCTGCTCCTCCTCTCCCCCAGCCTACGTCACGTGACACGCCTCCCTCCTGGCGCAACAAGGGGGAAGCGGGCCCAGGAGGTCACGTGGTGCTGTGCCGCCTTCCCTGTGCCTTCTTCGCGCCAGCTGGGCTGGGTCGCAGGCGGTGCCCTGGTGCCAGCCCTTCTCGTGCTAAGGCTGCTGAGCCTCCCCAATCACCAGCGCTGCCTCGATTGGCTGGGACCTTGGACAGGTCCCTGAGTGTTGCGATACAGCAGTTTGCAAAAGTGGGGTGTCAGCACGATCTAGGGTGACCAGATGTCCCGATTTTATAAAGACAGCCCCGATTTTGGGGACTTTTTCTTATATAGGCTCCTGTTACCCCCCCCCCCACCCTTGTCCCGATTTTTCACATTTGCTATCTGGTCACCCTAGCGCGATCCCATGTCTGCCAGTGTGCCCCTGGCAGCTGTGTGAGGCCCTTGCTCCTCTGGTGGGGACTTGCCAGTCCCTTGTCAGAATTCATCCCGCTGGCTCTGTCTGCAGCATTCAGCGCCTCTCATCACAAAATGCCCCTCCCGCCTCCAAGAAGCTACAGGAGGGAATGTAAGTGCCAAACCCACAGGCCCACAAATGTTCTTCTTCCACTTCCAGAACTGCTTCCTGAAGGGTTCTTCCAGACTGGGTCAGTGCCTGCACCTCATCCACGGGAAGTCGCTAGGCTGGGGATTTGATATGTAAAGTAAACACAGAATGAAAGGGAAGCCGCGGGTAAATGATGCTCTCAGCTCTATGTCTCTTTTACAGGATATGTAAAAGTCCTTGGAGATCTGCACCAGGATGAAAGATAGCTGGCTAATGCTGAACCCAAGCAAGACTAAGGCTGTGCAGGTAGATAGAAGGAAACACTTAAAAAAGAACTTGCCTCCTCTGCCGTGCCCCCAACAACTTCAAGAGAAACTCTATGACCTCATCCTCCACGAACCACCCCATGGACATTCCACATACTTCCCAAGATACACAAACAGGGGAACCCAGGCAGACCCAACCTATCCGGCCACAGCACTCTTACTGAAGACTGTCAGGACTTGTAGAAACCATCCTCAAACTAGTCACCATACAAAGCACCAGTTTCTTCCAGGACACAACTGACTACCTCCAGAAACTCCACAACATTAACAGCCTCCCTCAGAACACCATCCCTCAGAACACCATCCCTGCCACCATGGATGTCACCTCAGAACACCATCCCTGCCACCATGGATGTCACCTCCCTATGCATCATCCTTTACAATGACAGAATAACTGCCTGCCTTAAATAGCTAAAAGACAATGGACAATATTCAGATATCCATCCCAAACAAATCGCCAAACTCATCCATTTCATCCTCACCCATAACAATTTTATGCTCAACAACAAACACTTTGTCCAATCCATGGGAACAGCTGGGTTAAGTAGGATAACTCTCCAATATTCCAGCCTCTTCATAGGACACCGTGAAGAAGAATTTCTGGATAAATGAACCATGAAACCAAAGATATACCTGTGCTACATGAATAATATTTTCATCCTCTGGATAGATGACCTAAACTCTCTCAGATTTCCACCACAACTTCAACAGCCACAACCCATCCATCAAACTCTCCCTAGAATACTCCCAGGAAGCATCAACTTCCTGGACATCATGGTCGGCTTCAACAATGGAATCCTATTGACATCAAAACCAGGAAACCTATGGATTGCCATGCTTATCTTCACAGATTTAGTAACTACCCAGACACACCAAGAAATCTGTTTTCTACAGCCAGGTTCTCAGACACCACAGAAAATGCTCTGAAGAGAAAGTCCAGGATAGACACTGTAACATACTTAAAACCTGATTCACCAAACAAGGACACTCCAAAAGAGAAGTAGTTTGCATCATGGAACTGGCTACCCAATGCCCCAAGAGAACCCACTTCAATACAGGGAAAACAACTCTCTGACCCTACACCCCTAGTTGTCGTCAACCACCCCACACTGGAATCCATGTGGCATATCATTAAACAATTACAACAAATACTCAATGGGGACCACATCCTGAACCCCCTCTTCTGGCCTTCAGACAACCCCCCGAATCTTGCCAAACTCATCATCAGAAGCAAGCTTCCCACAAACCAGGACCCAATAACTCAAAGTGGCAGCAGACCCTGCCATAACAAGACATACAAAACCTGCAGACATATCTCTATTTTTGCAATGATCAGTAAAATCCACAACATACCTTTCAATATGCATGCCTATCATAGCATGTGATGTACCTCATCCAGTGCAATAAATACCCCAATAACAACTGTATAGGTGAAACAAGACAATCACTGTGCTCTCAAATGAACTCATACAGAAAAATAATAAAAGACAAAACCATCATATCATCTGTGAGTAACATTTTTCACAAAATGATCACACCCTACCTGATCTCTCAGTTCTTGTGTTTAAAGGAAACATGAACAACACCTTCAAAAGACAAGCCTGGGAACTTAAATTCACAACTCTACTAGACACCAAAAATCATGGACTTAATAAAACAGTGGATTTATGGCTCATAGCAACACTTTGTAACCCACTAACCCTCCTTTGTCCTATGAATTAACTGCCTACTTCACCTTGAATGGTCTAGTTATACCGTGTTAACTATTCCACCAGTGTATGTAGCTGTGACACTGAGTCGTTTTCCAGACCTGAAAAAGAGCTCTGTGTAAGCTCAAAAGCTTGTTTCTTTCACCAACAGAAGTTGGTCCAATAAAATATATTACCTCATCCTCCTTGTCTCTGCTGACTTTAAAGTCAGGCCATGTCTACATTGCAAGTTACATTGGCACATGATTGCTGCAGTTAGTATATCACTTGTGCACGTGCACAGCTGGCTCCTTGTGTTGGCACTGCACATACTCATTATGCGTGCTTGTGCTGGTGCACCATGAATGGGTATCCAACTGTGTAACTTGCCACCATTCAGTGCACTCTCTGTTGGGTAGTTTTGGCATTGCATAGTGGGGCAGAAACAGCTCACACAGGGGATATAGTGAAAACTAATTCAAGGTTGTTGTTGCTGTTCATGGAACAGGGTGGAGTGCTGCTTCTGGCTGAGATACAAGCACTGCCTGGTGAAATTGTATTGTAATGCAGGTTTGGAATTATGAGGAGTGGCCAAAGAACTTTTGGATGTGCAAGGCCACATTCCTGGATCTGTGTGCCATGCCTGCCTCAGCCATCCAATGCAGGTACACCAAACTGAGAGCAGCACTGACAGTGGAGAAGCAAGTGGCAATCAGACTGGAAACTTGCAATGCCGGATTGCTACCGCTCAGTGGGAAGTCATTCTGGAGTGGGAAAATCCACTGTGGGGGCCACTGTCATGCAAGTGTGCAGGGCTCTTAATCATCTCCTGCTATGCACAACCATGACTCTCTGCAATGTGCAGGACATAGTGGATGGCTTTGCAGCTACAGGGTTCTCAAACTGTGGTGGAGCAATAGACAGCATGCACATCCCTATTTTGGCCCAAGAGCATATCAACAGAAAAGGCTACTTTTTCATGATTGTGCAAGAGCTGGTGGACCACCACCACTAATATCAGTGTGGGCTGGTCAGGGAAGATGCATGAAGTGCTCATTTTTAAGAACACAGGACTTTTCAGAAAGCTAAAAGCAAGGAACTTTTTTCCCAACCAGCGGATCGTCATTGGCAATGTTGAAATACTAATAATGATCCTGGGGGATCCAGCCTACTCCTTAGTCCCCTGGCTCATGAACCCGTATGCCGGCTACTTTGACAGCGGCAAGGAAAGATTCAACTACGGTTCAGCAGGTGCAGAAGGACAGTTGAATATGCTTTTTGGTTGACTGAAAGGTTGCTGGTGTTGTTTACTCACCAGATGGGATCTCAGTGCAAAAAATATCCCACGGAGAAAACTTGATGAAGGGTTGGAGGTGGGACGGCTGTGTGCTGAGTTTGAACAGCCAGACACAAGGGCTATCAGATTGGCTCAATGAGGAGTTGTATGGGTTAGGGAGGCTTTGAAAGAGCACTATAATAAAAAGCCACAATAATGTGCTATGATGCACGGTGCTCAGCCTGGCGCTGCAGCTTGGGGATCTGTTAGGAATCTTGTGGTGCTTTTTGCATATCTATACATGTATCACTGGCAGTGCTCCTATTACTGTTGGGCTGCTTCCTGTACATTTTATGATGACTACACTGTTTGGCACTGATCTTATGGGTTGTGAGTGTACAAGACCACTGCTTTCACTTTCAGCAGGCATTATACACCATGTGTTGTAATCTAATAAAGGTGAACAACTTTTTAAAACAAAAGAGATCTATTCATTTACAAGAACAGCCAAAAAAAATCTGAAGAACTTAGAAGTAAAATATAGGAACTTTAATAAGTAAACAAGAGGAAGGAACACTGATGTCCATTGTAGCTGTGAGAGCCATGGTTGATGTATGTGAAGCTGTGGTTGTCTCTGCTTTCCCCTGGTGTGGAGTGGTAGGCGTGTAGGTCCTGATGCCTAAGTTCCTGCTAAGCTGTGCAGCCACGCAGCAGGCTATTAAGGGCCATGCAGGCATGCACCGGGGAGAGGTGCTTTGGCCCTGGCTCCACCAGAACTGCCGCAGCTGGGGAGAGGTGCTTCTCCCTCTCTGCCGGCCCCATGGGAGCTACCGCAGCCGGGGAGAGGTGCCTCTTCCCCAGCCCCGCCAGAGCTGCTACGGCTGGGGAGAGGTGTTTCTCCCTCTCCTCCGGCCCCACTGGAGCTGTTGCAGCCGGGGAGAGGCACCCCTCCTTCTTCCCCTACCCCACCAGAGCTGCCATGGCAGGGGAAAGGTG